GCCCGGCTGATTCCACAGCTGGACTTACTGTTTGAGGGCAGGACTGAAGTCTTCAACGTTGCTCAGTCCTGGATATCGGAATTAGGAAGGGGGAGAAAGTGCAGGTTGAGAGCCACATCCAGACAACTAAATGTCCAGCCCAGGCAAAGTTCCAATCATGATAGAGTTCAGAACCCCTTATCCAAAGTTAAAACGTTGAATTGGATCAGGTCTTCTCTTCCCCCTCCCCCTCCCCCAATTAAATGGAATCTTTAGTTGTGACTTTCCTTGTTATTATGGAAATGAGCATGACAGTGCAAGTTGAAAGGAAATTAAAATAGCTGGTGCAGGACTTCCAGCAATGATGTCATCGTGTAGAGGATTGAGGAACATCAGCTCCCGTAATCCAAAACCAAAATTTGTTCGTAGAAGCTCGATTTCCAGCACTGCGAGACCCAAAGAGATAGGCAGATTCAGGGGGAAACTCTGAAGACACTAGGGTGATAAGGCAAACCCCCCAATGGATAGGAGAAACTCACTAAACTGATGAAGAACTACCCTCTCATTTAGACAGGACCGGATCAACGGCAGCCACATAAAACGGAAGCAAAGAGTAGAGAAAGCAGCAGAAATTGGAGATACTTTTAGCAAGGAACAACACAGGAGAAGAGGAAAGAGATTGCGAAATTGGTGGAGCGGTGAAGTGGAAAGAGAAAGACTCTATAGAGAAGACTGTTTACAGTCTGGATCAGTGACGAAAAGGCAATGAGAGCAGAAGCTAAGAGTGGAAAGTGACGGCGCAAATAAGTACAAGAGGAGTGAATGCGGAGAGAAACCCGACAGGACACTGAAGAGAAAGTAGAAAGAAATGGTCCTTCCAATGAGATCGGGAAATATTGGTTGTAGACAGGAACAGTTGGATCACACAGAGGATTGAATCAGATCTGGATACAGTGTTCCTCTGAGAACAGGCGGATACTGAACAGTGTAACAATCACAAGCAACAAACACAGGTAACGAAGAATCTAACTCTTGGGACCATAACTATAAACATTATTGGGAGTTGGAATTGGCTGCGGGACAGCATTTTTGGAGTAACCAGAGAAGTTTCTGGTTTCTTTTCCTGAACATATGGATAGTGACATTGAGACGAAGTTGTCATCTAGTGGATTATAATTTTGAACTATAAAGGCTGAGGCAAGAACAAGTGACAGTGACATAAAGGGGGAGGGGAATCTTTGGGGGAAATAGAAGAATCATGATTGATAAAGACGTAATTGAATACTAAACAAAAGGATTGTTATCATTGAAAGCATATATTTTTATACATAAGATTATAAAAGAATAATATAAAGGAAAATAATAATAATATAGGATTATTAATGATTAATTTAGAAACAACACAAACACCAATTCTATTAATAGTAATATTAATAGTAATATGCCCCAAACCAGAATCAAGAGGATTTTCACAGGAAATTCATAAAATAAATGAATTAGACTATGAAAACAACTGTTTAATTGAGGACTACAATGCAATAGCGAACAAAAAGATGGATTACGAAAGTAAAAAATAAGACTAAGAAAAACACACTACTTAAGTCCTTTGATATGGCAATGGAATATAAACACCATGATATATGGAGAAAGATGCACAAATCACGAAAACAATATACTTTTTATTCAAACCCCCACCAGTCCTGGTCAAGAATAGATATGGCTTGGACATCATTGGGTTTACGAAACCAGCTAGAACAAAATGAAATAGAAACCAACGAATGGGTGGATCATAACCCAATAAAATTAAAATGGAAAGGCCAAAAAAGAAAAAAAAGATGGATGATGAACCAAACTTTGGTAAAGGAGACAGAATACACCCAAATGTTAGAGAAAGAATTAAAACTATTCCTTAGGGTCAACAAAAAATAAGACACTTCACTATAAAACCTCTGGGACACCACGAAAGCATACATAAGAGGACTCATGATTGCTTATGCAGCAAGAAAAAATAGAAAAAAAAAGAACAAGAATGTATGCAAAGAGAGCTCAGTGAAGTAGAGGCAGAATTACAGAAAGACCTACAGAATAAACCCAAAGAAGAAAAAAGAGAGATGATAAAACATAAGATCAATCTAATAACCCAAAAAGAATTAGCGCGGAAAATTAAAGCGGCAAAACAAAATTATTTTGAACATGCCAAGAAACCCAGACAGTGGCCAGCATACAGACTAAAAAACAAAAGAGGAAAAAAGGATGAAGAAGGAATTATTAAACATAGATCGGAAGAAAAGAAGCAAATTATACAAGGATACTTCACAAAATTATACATGCAGGATGCCACAGTGGAAACCAAGATAAAATAATATCTAAAAACCCAGGAAAGATGAATCCAATCTCGAAAGAACAGAGGGAGGTGATAAACAGGCCAATAATGACAGTGGAAGTAGAATCAATTCCGAAGAAACAGAAGAACAATAAAACCCCAGGACCAGACAGAATTGTGGTGGAGCTATATAAATATAACCAAATAATACTGGAGGAATTGGTGTTTAATGAAGTTCTAGGAGAAGCCAAGGTTCCTGACTCATGGATCGAAGCAGTAATATCGCTCATCCCTAAAGAAGCTAACGCACAAGAAATTCAAAACTATAGACCAATCTCACTATTAAATTGCAATTATAAATTATTTGCAGCAATTACGGCAGAAAGGCTCAAACAAGTGCTAAATGAATGAATTCATCCACATCAGAATGGCCAGTGCAGGAAGCAGGGAGATCATAGAATCTCCACCCCCTCCCCTCTTTGAGGAGGAAAGCCAGGCTTCTCAGTAGGAGGAACCATACTCACTCGGAAGCGATCCAGAGGATGAACCACTGGTAAGCAAACCAATTAAACTGCTTACCCTCCCCCTAAGACTGTTTATCCCCAACTGGGAGAGGGGGATAAAAATCTCTGCTTTAGTGGACTCAGAATGCACCTGCTGTTTGATAAGCCCAACCCTAGGGGGTACCATGGTGCTGCGGACTATAGAAGGGGCTTACTCCCCTCCTCCCTAATTGCTGCATGCAATGTCACGTTCGTGTGCCTTGTAGGAGAGCTGCCAGAATCTGCAAATGCAGTTTGGCTGCAGATCAACTTTCACAAGATCCGATCCAGGACCTGTTTTCTTAAATTCATAACCCCCATCCAATTAGCATTTAGGAGTCCTGGTGGTTGCCCCATCAGAACTCCCTGCCCAATTGCCTGTCCTGCTTATCTGCATGTGGTGGACCCTCCCCCTAAGTAGCCGTAGAAGTGCATACAAGGGAAAAGAGCAAGTGAGAGGGAGGAACTTCTGTTTTTACATTTCAGTTCACAAGGTCTGAGCTCAGAGTCACTTTCCCAAAATAAAAGTTCCAACGCACAAAGATCGCTCCAAGTGCCCCAAGTGCATGCAGACGCCCTATTTGCATACAGCTGTGCTCCGTGGGACCACAAGGTCTCATTAAGTAGTTAAGTGGAAAGTAGTTGGGGAGGGGAAGAGCAGAAGACTGGCACCACAAACACTTTTCATGCCGAGAATAAAGTTTGTGGATCCCTGACTCTGCAAAAGATGATGGGTGCCTCAACCTGCATGATATTATGGCATCCAGGAGTATCCATTCTTGGCATGAAAAGTATTTCCAAGCCAACTTTCCTCTCCCTTCCTTAAAGGCAAAGAAACCGCAGCAGAGAGGAGACAGATACTTGCGAGGTAAGTGAGTTCCTGCGGCAGGAAGGGAGGGAGAAGCATGAGGTATCTTAGTGGACTGGGGAGGCCTAGAGAGAGGGCTGTTCTATCACTAGGCTCCCCCAGGCTTCCCACCCTGAGATACCTGATGTGCACTTAACAAATGGCACATTGGTATTCTTGAATTGTGAGTTTTTGGGAAAGTATCCCTTCCTCATGTGTTGCAAACAGCCATTTCCAGTGGGGAAAACAGGACAAAGCAAGTGGGGAAAATATTTTCCTTTGCTATATTTCCAGTCTGAATTAGACCATGGCAGGGTCCCTACAGGAGAGTCCTTTTAAGGATTATGTATTAATAGAAAAGCAATTAACTTAGCTCTGTTCTTAAATGATAAAGCTCTTGCACATAAAAAGCAGAGGAGCTCTGATCAACTACCAGAGCCATCATTTTGACAGTTTTGCTGTCCTGTCGTCTGTCCCCATGAAATGCAAGCATGGAATAAATTGAGCCTTGTTTGTTCTCAGTCTTTTCAGTGGCCACAAACTACTAGCAAAAGTGCCCTATGATCACAAGGCAAGGAATGTTTCCCCTTTTGCATTGGAGCATCCCAGTCGGGACAGGAAAGACC